GGCCTTCAAACATCAAGCCGATTTAAGCCTGAACAGTAACTCAAGACAGGCAGTCCTGTTCATGTATTAGTCACCAGGGGAAAAGAGATGAAAGAGGCAAACCTGTGTGCCAAAGTCAGGGGTTAAAGTGGTTTGTGCTTTCTTTTTTTCTGGCACAACACCAACACAACACAAGTACTTCAGCATCTAGCTAGCCTAACAGAAGAGGACAAAACAAAAATGGAGTGACATATTTTAGTGGCAGGTAATTAAAGGTAATTAAATACAACATTTTTATCAGCACAACAAACATCATCAAAAACACTGTTTGTGCGCAGTTTGTCTGCTGCTACTGCTTATTTCACAGGGAGAGAAAAGTCAGAGAGCTAAATTCATTCAGAGATGGAGATAAGAAAGACAGGACAGGAGAGGAAGAAGAGAGATAAGGACTACAGCTATTTCCTCAGGATTTGACTTATGAAACATCTGCTCACATCTTGTTAATATTAGGTGTATAAATCCACAAAGAGCAGCAGGTCAGCTGATCACAGCCTGTACACTAAGAAAATCTACTGGAGCTCACATTAGAAATTAATGTGAGTTGTGATTCTTTTCTTTTCCCCACTCTGAGCCATTAGAACTGATTTTAGGTTTCCTCCACCTGCTGAATCTCACTTTAACCCCTGACTTTACTCATTTTTAGAGGCAAAATCAGCCTCTACAATGTAAGCAACAAAAAACAGAGCTATTTATTTTATTTCCTTCTTTTTCTCTTCTCATGTTCTACATAATCGATTCAAGCTGAATACATTTATTAGAATTAAAAATGAGACTGAAACAAGTTTATTGTTCCCTCTACTGATATTATTTTATCATTACATTAATACAGCACAGAGTTCGGTTAACTTTGCACAAAAATAAGAACTACTTTTATTACTTTGAGTTCATTTCAGAGCCGGTACTTTTTTACTTTAGTATAGAAGTTGAATCCATACGTATTTTTTAACACTAGTATCTGTACTTCTGTTTAAGTACATATATTCTGTACTTTTGTGCTTTCTGGATGTGATCTTAACGTAATGTTTTTGTTGCCTAAAGCTAACCTAAGAGAAATAAACAGAATCATTTAGACAACTATTTACGTAAGTTAAATGCTAAAAGATCTCTGAAGCAAAGCGGTTGATTGCAGTAGTTATATTTAGCACTTGCAGGTTTGTTTAATGCAGATCACACCCAGTACAATTTTGAAATATATTGCCAACTCAAACTCATTCTGTTTTTTCTTGGCTTTCAGGGGTCTCAGTGGGCTCTGCTGGCTCTGCGCCCAGCTTGCTGGCCTCCGTCTTGCTGGCCTCCGTCTTGCTGCCCTTTTTGGAGGTTCGGTTGGGGGTGCCATTCAGGACGTTCTCCGAGTTCTGCAGAGTCTGAAAATGCTTCCTGGAGCCCAGCAGGGAGGGGTTGTTAACCAGTGTGTACATCAGCTGCCAGCGAGAGCGAATCTTTTGACTGCTGTTCGCCTTGCTTGGCTTATTCTCCTGAATCCCTGAAAGCATGAAGGAGGAGCAGGCTGAGGGCAGAACGAGACAGCAAACCAAGGGGCTGAATATGCTTAGTGTCATGTATCAATGTATGCATGACATATTTTGAAAACAGTGGCTAAGAAATTGCTACAACCCCATGTAGCATGCTTCATGTGTGTGTCACTGAAAAGAACACA